AAAAACGCCCATAAAAACAGCAAAACACAAAATGTGAAATCCGCAGCTTTGCACGCATTTCTGAATTGATCCACAAACCTCCAGGTCAAATTTGATGAGGATCTATCAATAGGGGGTGAAGTAGTGGTAAAAAATGCCATCCCCTCTAGAAACCGCAAAACGCAAAATTGAAAAATTATATGTACCTCTCCATGGACCCAATAAACCTTCATACTAGATTTGGTGAAGATTCATCCACACCCTGTGAAGTAGTTACATGGACATACAACAGACAACATACAGTACTATTATATTTATGTGGTTCAACTTAAACTTCGCTGTTTTAAAAACCAGAAAATATGAAAGATACTGGTTTTAGAATGTTTACTTTTTCCGAAAAAGCTCTAACAACGAGTTTAAGAGTGAACCATACTTTCCATAAAAAAATGTTTTTATGTTTTATATGTGCAAAAATTACGAGTTCAATGACAATTTAGCAGATTTCGCTGGAAAACAGGATAATACTTAAGAGACATTTTACGTATTTCTGGAACAAACCTGATCTACACCGTTAGGGTTGCAGAATGTGAGCAATCTCCAATCTTTTGAATTGAGCATAAATTTTAAAATGTACACGTGAATAATGGCTGTTTTAAAAATGTATGTTTGTTTGAATTTTTGCACACAGCTACACAATGGGCTATCTGTGCTCTGCCCACCACGGGTATCGAAACCCAATTTATAGCGTTGTAAGTCCGCAGACATACCGCTGTGCCACTGGGGAGCTAAAATGTATGAATTTGTTCGCTTACAAAAGTTTTATAAGTCGAGACAGGAACATTAAGAAAGTACAAAACTTGATACAAACACTCTTAACATGGAATACGATTTCAGTCTTCTCAAATAATAGTTCGAACTTGAGAAATAGATCATAACGAACAACAAAAGATTTAATTGAAAACAAAGAGAAGGACTATGACAAAATCTACACATGCGAACATATAACTTAGAAAATACTGAAGTACGGAAAATTGCTTGACAAAGAATGAATTGTACTTGTTTAAAATAAAGGGGAGAAGTGCTAGATATTTGTCGATTCAAAAACTCCGCAGTGGTTTAAATGTAGTTATAACACGCA